GACACTGACCTTCCTTCTGGAGGGGGGCTACTTTTGTTCCCCATGGTCCCTGTGTGTGTTGTAAAGTAGCCACCTCTCCAAGCTCGCTCCCATGATGTATCACAATCTCAATATAAATTAGTAAACTAAACATGAGATTGTAGTCTATCACAGGAGTGAGCTTGGAGCGGTGACTACTTTACAACACACACAGGGACCATGGGGAACAAAAGTAGCCCCCCTCCAGAAGGAAGGACAGTGTCAGCACCAATTCAGAGATGGTTTGAGGATCTACAGCCGAGTGATACACAAATAATCATCTTGTCTTGAATTGTATTGTAATTGAAATGACTTCCTTATATTGTAAAGGGCTGTGCAAACTGTTGGCGCTATATAAATCCTGTATAATAATAATAATCTACATTTTTGTTAATAGTTAGGGTACTTGAATGCATTTTTAAGATTTAACTCTTGTCACTTTAAATTAGGAAACACACAGAAGTTGGTAAATTCTACCTTTTCATGGAGCACCGTTATATACCACGGCGACTTTATCTCCACAGAGGTGAGATATGTCTGAGGACTTTGATGTCCATTTTGATAGAGACTCAGCGATGATTCATCCCAAATGTTGCTTCTGGGGTAATCAGTGGAGCTATGAATGTGAGGGAGTTTCCTGTCTATAGTATTTAAAACAGCAACAAAAGAAACAAAGTCACATCAAGTACAGCTCTGTAACAGGGGATACAACCTTTGTCAGGTAGATTAGTGCTCTGTTCTCTATATCTTTTACTGTGAAATTACATAAAACTTTAAACTAATATTACCCCCGGGGCTTTATCTGTTAGGCAAAGGGCAAAGGGCAAAATGCAGAGAACAGCAATCCAGAGGTCACCAATGGATTATTGGTGACTGCAAATTGGGCAATGATGGTTGTTCTTTACACTGCTTTATTGAATAGGCCAAGTATGTACACATCCCTCTTGACAAAAAGATGAGAACTGACCAGAAGACCTTTGGATATGGAAATAATTACGGCTGATTTCAGACGATTTATGGCTGAAATCAGCCGTACTGAGTACATAGTTTGGCAAACTTCACTTCGGCTGGGTTATTCACTC